ATAACATTGAGAAGAATGGGAATTCCAGAACACTTAATTGTACTCATGAGGAACCTGTACATAGACCAGGAGGCTGTCATTCGAACAGAACAAGGAGACACTGCATAGTTTAAAATCAAGAAGGGAGTGCGTCAAGGTTGTATACTTTCAGTATACTTATTCAGTCTGTAGCCTGAGCAGATTATCTGAGAAGCTAGACTATGTGAAGAACTTATTAACAACCTGTGATACACAGAGGACACAACTTTGCTTAGTGAAGGTGAGGATGACTTGAAGCACTTAACTGATGATGATTGAAGACTACAATCTGCAGTATGGATCACATCTCAATAAAAAGGAAACAAAAATTCTCACAACTGCACCAAGAAGCAGCATCACAATAAATGGAGAAAAGATTGAAGTTGTCAAGGACTTCATATTACTTGGTTCTACAATCAACACCAATGGATATCAGTCAAGATATCAGATGGCATATAGCATTGGGCAAAGCTGCTGCAAAAGACCTCTTTCAAGTGATGAAGAGCAAAGATATCTGCTTGAAGACTATGGTGTGCTTGACACAAGCAATGGTGTTTTCAATTGCCTCATATGCGTGTAAGAGCTGGACAATGAATAAGGAAGACCAAAGAAGAGTAGATGCTTTTGAATTGTGGTGTTGGCAAAGAATACTGAAAGTGCCATAGGCTGCTAAAAGGACTAACAAATCTGTCCCAGAAGAAATGCAGCCAGAATGCTTCTTGGAAGAGAGAATGGCCAGACTTGGTCTCATCTACTTTGGTCATGCTGTCAGAAGGGACCATTCCTGGAGAAGAATATCATGCTTGGTCAAGTGGAGGGTCAACAAAAAAGGGGGGAAGCCTTCAACAAGATGGATTGACACAGTGGCTGTAGTGATGGGCTCAGGTATAGCAAGGATCATGGGCAGAGGACTGGGCAGTTTTGTTCTGCAATGCACAGGGTTGCTATGAGTCAGAGATGATTTGACGGCACCTAGTAGCTCTAGTAGCATAGTGGCTAAAGCACTTGACTGCTAACCAGAAGGCTGGCGGTTCAAACCCACCAGCCACTCCTCGGAAGGAAGGTTGGGCAATCCTACTTCCGTAGTGATACTGCCTCGGAAACCCAAGGAGGGGTCGCTATGAGTCGGGGCCGACTCGACGGCACATAACAACAACAACAACAACAACAATAGGAGGAGCTCTGGTACCTTAGTGCCTAAGGCACTTTACTGCTAATCAGAAGGCTGGCGGTTCAAACCCAGCAGCCATTCCTTGGAAGAAAGGTTGGGCAATCTACTATCTGTAGTGATACCGCCTCGGAAACCCAAGGAGGGGTCACTATGAGTTGGGTCTGACTTGACGGGACATAACAGCAATAGGGTCACTCTGAGTCTGAATCCAGTCAATGGCAATGGGTTTACTTTTGGTTTGGTAGTAAATTAAATGCAAGATTTCAATCATTCTCCTGTGCCTGGTCTACAGGAAGTACTTAATGTTTATTGAATGAATGGTATACCACCATGTTGTAATATTACATAACCAAGTGCATATGAAATCAAGTTTAGGGAAAAATAACTCACAGGACACGTGAATTACATCTATAGAAAATCTATGGACGCATATTGTTACTAATAAGGAGCCAGAGAAAGCCATCTGTCACATTGCATGGCAATAAAAAAGCATCCTCATACATCCTCATTTTGATTCTCACCACCACCCTGAGAAGGACGCACGGGAAGTAATTATTAACTTGTTTTACAGGCCAGGAAACCAAGTTACAGAGGTCAGGAACTTTTGACCAGGGCGGAGCCAGGACATGGGTCCCGGATCCAGGTCCAGAGCGTCTTTCTTGCCACCACTCGGCAACTGTGATTGGCCTTGGGAGTCTTAATTTCCTTTCTACAGGGTCATTATATTTGTAAACAGAGCCTGGATACGCGAGCTGCCGGAATGGGGCAGGTGCTTGGAGAGGAGCAGGCGCCAGCGGCGGCGAACTAGCGTGGCACTGTACGCCGTGGCAGTCCTTGTCACCCGCTGCATCCGGCTCGGGCCCCGCGACCATAGAGTCCGGAAGTGTGGCCAGAGCGGCTCCCGGGGGTGCATCCCTCACAATTCTCGCCGCTGACCCGGGAGGGTCGCCGCCAGGCGGGCTGAATGGCCGCAGCGCTGGCGCTGAGGGTAGTCGTGGGGCTGGCGGCCGCGGCGCTGGCGGCGGTGCTCTTGGAACACTACGGCTTGGCCAATCCGCCTTCGCCACTGTCCCAGCCCCGCCGCTCCTGGAGCCCGCACCCCGCGCCGGGCTCCCGAGACAACAACATCTTCTGGGGTCTGCAGGTGACGCTACGCGAGCGCGGGGTTGGGGGCGGTGCAGAGCTGGCACAGAGACTTGAGCCGCTGGGCTTGTTTGGGCTCCACATCCCGGGCTGGGGGCCTCAGTCAGGTTGCAGCTCAGTCTGGTAGTGGCCCTGCTTCCCTTCGGTCATCCCTTGAGGGGGGGACGGTGGGATAGGGTGGTTGATGCATTGCATTCTTGCCCTTTTTTCCCTCCCCAGAGAGCCGCTTGGCCGCCCTTGCCATGCTGCTTTCTTCCTGACTCAGATTATCTCTGTTTAATACCTGCTTTCGGCAGATATCCGACATTCACTTGAGCAGGTTTCATGATCGAGGCAGAGCGGTAGACTTAGAGAAGTTCTGTTCTGAAACTATTGACATCATTCAACCAGCTCTCGTCCTAGCAACAGGTAGGGAAGATTGCCGTGCTGTCGTGTTCTTCTGTGGTTCTGAATGGTAGAATGCTGGCCAAGGCTGCAACTTTTCACTTTGGGGACACAGCCCCAGGTGAGCCCAGTGAGGTAGAGAAGTTGGGACGTTATAATTTCTTTTGCCTATGGATAACTGTGTCAAGATGCAAGTCAAACGATTTGCCATTAGCAAGGTTTTGTCAACACAGTAGAAGCAAAGTTTGTGATTCTCATGTCAGTGTGCTGTCTGGTATATTTGTGTCTATTTTTGTTGTTGTCTCAGTTCTGAATTTGAGAAAGAACTAGTGAAATCCCTTTAACTACAAATCAAAGGTTCTTTTTCTGCTAACTTTTCCAGTTTCTTCATATTATTAGTCAATGTGTTATTGTCAATTGTTTGAGGCTTCAAGTGACTTAGCACTTTTCATCATCCTTTGGTACTTCAGTGGCTTGAGTTCCCTAGAGTCTTCAAACCCCTAACCGTTTTCCCCCAAACTGTGATGGAGGAGGGGAAGCTAAAGGAGTGTTTATCTTGTCTCCTGGGAACTCATTTCCCACCCACTCTACTAAGACACTGCATTACCACTAATGCCCCTACTGATATGATGAAAATTAGTCCTCATTGTATAGAAGAGCCCCAAGTTCAGATGTTCTGTCTAGTTCCCTGAAATTTTGGTATTTCATTGTCCAAACTACGTCTTCTAGATTGCTTCTTGCTGTAAAACTAATACTTGCTTAGATCACATATCCTAATTTGGGGTTTGGAAAATATGGTCACCTTAGCTAATAGACACCTTCCCACAGTAATGGAAATTGTTTATGATTTTCATTTTATCAGAGTCTCATGATATATTTTGTACTGTTCTCTTCAAAGATATTTTTTCACAACCCACATCTACTATCCCAGAAGGTTAAGTAGGAGCTTGCTAACCTATAACAAAAAAATAAAGCCCTTGCTGAGAAAATCTTGTTATTTTAGATGGTTTGTCTTAGACATAGATGAACAAATAATGGGTAATGCTTATACATGTTGAGTACTTTACATGTCTTTGTTCCTTCAGTGTGCATTTTTATATTTACCCCCTCCCCAGGAATTTGTTTTGCATTGTGATTCAATTCTTGTATAAACTTACAGGAGACCTGACTGATGCTAAAACAAAGGACATGCTAGGATCCAGGCAGCATGAAGTAGAATGGCAAACTTACCAGAGTATTCTGAAGAAGACAAAGGTTATGGAAAAAACCAAGTGGCTGGATATCAAAGGAAATCATGGTAAGGGTCAAGGCACAGACATCTTTTTTTCCCCCTTTGTAAACTTAGATTCTCCAATTTAGATTGTAAATTTATAAAATGGGACATTGTAACAGGTTTCTAAGATACACAGAAGGTCACAACTCTGAAACTCAGCTATAATATATGAATGAAAAACTTCAGATGCCACTGTTAACCTTTGAGTTGAGAGTTCGTATGGTCCTTTATTTATTGCATTGAAGAAAAACTTCCATCAAAACCCATTCAGATCATGCTGAGCGAATTAAGTCAGTCACATAAGGATAAATGTTGTTTGATTCCACTTATGTGAAAGATCTAGAATAGGCAAATGTATATAGACCTAAAGTTATTCGTGGCTACTAAGGCTGCGTAGGAGGGAGGGGGGAAAGGGATACACTTCTTAGGAGACACTGACCATCTGTTAAGGTGGAAAAATTTGGAGGCTATTAGTGATGATGGTTGCCCAACATGATAAACATAATGTCACTAAATTATACATGTAAAGAATGTTGAAATGGCATATTTTTCACATACATATTTATCACAATGGAAAACAAAGAGTTTGTGGAAAGACCAACATCATAACATTGTGACCAACATCATAACATTGGGGAAAGGGGGGACACTGAAATGTGTGCATAAGATGTAGACAACAGAGGCAAATACTAGTATATGCACAATACTACATTACCACTAACACCAAACACCAGGCTATGGATAAATGCGTAGACATTTTCTTAAAAATAATAAAAATAAAAAAAATATAATAAAATAAAAAACAAACCAAAAATACCCATCCAGGCAGATGCTTAAAATAAATATACATTTTGCCAAGTGAAAAGAAGCCAACCCAAATGTCTACATACTGTCTGATTCCATTTATATGACATTCTGGAAAAGGCAAAACTATAAGCAGAGAACAGATTTGTGGTTGCAGGAGTGGGGATGGGAGGAAAAGTTTACTGCAAAGAAGCACCATGAGGGAATTTTTTTTGGGTGATGGAACTGTTCTGTGTCTTGTTTGTGGTGATGGATACTCAACTAATTGTCAAAACTCACAGAACTGTACAGCACAAAGAATGAATTTTGTTGTATGTAAATTAAAATCTAAAAATTGCCAACAAACCCAATATGCATGGGCAGATAAATGGATAATAAATACCATGTTTTAGATTATACCTGTTGTTTTAGTAAGGAAATTAACTCTTCTCCAAATCCTGATAGTAGATTTGTTTATTTTATCAAGGTTGTCTTTCTCATTAGTCAGTACAGCACTTCATTTGCTTATTGATTGCTGATGAGAGCTTTTTTATTTAGCTATCATTTTAAATGATCATTCTACCTGGTGAAATGTACAGCTATTGTCTTGATCAGAAAATAGCCTCTTTGTAAATAGTTCTAAGCAGTTAGGAAAGTTAAAATAGAATATCCGGCTTACAACTTTCTCTAGTATATTTACATCTCCCTTTATTTCCTGATACTAATTATAGGATCAAATTCTTTTGCAACAAAAATCAAATCTGTGTATATTAAAAACAATTTCCAAGCCAAGCTACAGCTTTCTTTATTCCAAGTAACAAATACCAAGAAAACTTTTGTGATCAAATATTTTTGATAGTCTACTGGAGTTCAGAGTAATGTAATTTGATTAATCTAGCCATAAAAAATTATGGTATGCATTTATATATTATGTTAAGACAAAGGAGGGAACTAATCTTTATTAATATTTAACTATAACCCAGAACTGTTCTATTTCTTAGCAAGAGGATTGCATATATGTTAATATTTCTTTTGGCCTAAATTTGACTGCTAACTAGAAGGCTGGCGGTTCAAACCCACCAGCCATTCCTCGGAAGGAAGGTTGGGCAATCTACCTCTGTAGTGATACTGCCTCGGAAACCCAAGGATGGGTCGCTATGAGTTTGGGCCGACTTGACGGCACATAACAACAACAACAAATTGGAATTATTCTCTAATGTTATTGAAAATGTAGTAGATTCTTAGAAATCAAAAGTGATAAATAATTTTAGTTATTTCAACTAGGCAGTCAAGCTCTGTGATATCACTGTATTTCTAGATAAGTGTTCTGTGATGTCTTTAACCTTACCACTTACCATTATATAACTCCTTTCCCACTGAATCTTTTTAAGATTTAGGAAGACAGTCTTTGTCCCTCTTATCTAACTGATAGGCTGTTTAGAAGCACTTGACCTCATCAGGCATGAGTCCACTCCTTGCTGGTTTCCAGAATCATATGATTAAAACAACAGAAACAACAACCCAATTTTATGACTTCAAGTTAGTTGATTTATTCTGAATTGTAATAATTCAGTATACCTATTTTTCTCCAGTATACTAGGTGCCTTAAATATGTTTCCAGATAATCTGAATTCTGTTAAGCTATGAAATTTTAAAAATTACCAGTTTAATTGATTGGTATTCTATCATTTAAAGTATTAAACATGTTTACTTTTCCTTTTTAATACAGATGCATTCAATATTCCAAGTCTGGAGAGTGTTGAGAATTATTACAGGTATGATAATGGACAAGACTGACAAGTATGTAGAGTTGTGTTACAAGGAGGGTGAAATTCAGTGAATTACTGAATTACTGAAAACATTTTTTAACAAATAAAATTTCTACATATTACCTCTGGTAATTTAAAAAAGGAAGCTTCTTTTGTGACAGATTCAGTTCTTTTTGTTTATTTGGACTTTTTCTTTCCTTTAATTCTTTTTGTTTCATATGCTTAATGCTTTTTGTTGACTAATGGTATATTCCATATATACTTTTTTCTCTTCTTAAATCAGAGCTTATCCGTCAATGTGCTGAGGTCAGTGGGTTTATGGAATGCTGAGATACTGATTCCCTCAGCTTCTGGGTGGCTAGAGAGCCCAGCTGGTCACTCTTTTCATTCCAGTATGCCATAAAAATATTTAAAAAAAATTTCTTTACATGTCTTGCATGTGAAAAAAGGCTAGGGAGTTTGAGTTAGAAAACCAGCTTCCTAGTTTAAATGAGTTGGGATTCTTCTTTTGGTTGTAATTTCACTTTCAGTTCCAGGCTATTCAATGGTTTTGTGATGCATTGTCAGTCAATCAAGTAGCATTCATTGAGAGTCCTTTGCTAGTTAGACACTGTGGGACATAGAAGAGCTAACTAATATAAAAAAATATGGTATATGCCTTAGTTTAGTTAAAGAAGGTAAGAATTGTTTCAGAAATAATTAGAAAAGGCAATGAAGGAATGGCTGATAAAATCCTAGATTATGTGGTGTACACTGTAATGGCTATGACAAATCAGTAAAGCTTATGAAATCAGATCAGCATATGGTGAATTTAGAGAAGACTTTATGAAGGAAGTGAACAGTACATCCAATCTTTTCTTCTTTTTTTTAAATTGTGATTTGGGTGAAAGTTTACAGAGCAAATTGGTTTTCCATTGAACAGTTCATGCACATTTCTGTTTTGTGACATTTATTGCAATCCCCACACTGTAACGGAATTCTTCCCACTTCTTTCCTATGCTCACCCTTTGCTACATCTTTTCTTTCCATTCCCTTCCACCTTCCTATCTCTATCCCTGGACAAATGTTGTCCTCTTGATCTCATATGGTTGATTATTCTAATGAGTGCATACCCTACTGATATTATTGTCCTCTTATCTATCATTTGGCTGACAGTTGAGTCACATGAATTAAGTTCAGTTCCTAGTTTGAAAGGTGTTTAAAGGCCACAGACTCGGAGGTCCAGTTTTCATCAGACCAGTAAGCCTGGTCTTTTTTAAGATTTTGAGTTTTGTTACACATTTTCCTCCACCGTATCTGGGACCTCTTAATGTGATTCCTTTTAGAGTGGTTAGTGGTGGTAGCCAGGTACCATCTAGTTCTTTGGGTTTCTGGGTCATGGAGGCTAGGGTTCACATACTCCATTAGTCCTTTGGACTAATTGTTTCCTGCATCTTTCCTTCATTCATCTTTGCTCTGGACAGTGTAAAGTACATGAGAAGAAGTCTCACCATCCTAGCTTCTAAGAGTATTCTAACTGTGCTTCTTCTAAGACAGATTTGTTTGTTTTTCTTGCAGTGATTGAAAATATCATGACTGGGTTAGGTGCACCTCAGTCCTCAAAGTGACAGCTTTGCTTTTTAACACTTTAAAGAAGTCTTCTGCAGATTTGCCTGATGTAATATGTTGTTTGATCTCTTGACTGTTGTTTCCATGGGCATTGATTATGGATCTGAATAAAATTATCCTTGACAACCTCAGTCTTTGCTCCATTTATATGATATTGTTACAGTTGTGAGGATTTTCGTTAAATTTATGTTGAAGTGTAATCCATACTGGAGGCTATAGTCTTTGATCTTCATCAGGAGTGCTTCAGGTCATCTTCACTTTCAACAAACAAGGTTGTGTCATCTGCATAGCCTAGCTTGTTAATGAGTCTTCCTTCAGTCCTGATGCTACATTCTTCTTCTCAGAAGTCCAGCTTCTGGGATTATTTGCTCAGCATACAGATTGAATAAGTATTGTGATTTTAAACCATAACGTATCCCCTTATTCTGTTCAAATAACTGTCTCTTGGTCTATGTACAGGTTCCTTATGAGTACAATTAAATATTCTGGAATTCCCATTCTTTGCAATGGTATCCATAAGTTGTTGTGATCTACATAGTTGAGCACCTTTGCATAATCAGTATAATACAGGTAAATATTTTCCTGGTATTCTCTGCTTTCAGCTACGATTGATCTGACATCAGCAATGATATTCTTTGTTCCATACCCTCTTCTGAATCTGGCTCAAATTTCTAGCAGTTCCCTGTCAAGGTACTGCTGTAACCATTTTTGCATTATCTTTGGCAAGATTTTTTTTGTGTATGATATTAATGATATCATTCGATGATTTCTGCATTCTGCTAGATCACCTTTCTTTGGAATGGGCACAAATATGGATCTCTTTCAATCAGTTGTTGTTGTCCAAATTTCTTGAAATAGACAATTGAGCACGTCCAGTGTTGCATCCATTTGTTGAAATGTCTCAATTGGTATTCTGTCAAGTCCTGGAGCCTTGTTTTGCATCAGTGCCTTCAGTACAGCTTGGACTTCTTCCTTCGATACCATAGGTTCTTGAACGTATGTTACCTCCTGAAATGGTTGAATGTCAGTCAATTCTTTTTGGTACAGTGACTCTGTATTTCTTCCTTTTTTTTTTTTTTTTTTGATGCTTCCTACGTCATTCAATAGTTTGCCCATAGAATCCTTCAATATTGCAACTTGAGGCTTGGATTTTTTCTTCAATTCTTTCAGCTTGAGAAATGCTAAGCATGTTCTTCCCTTTTGATTTTCTAACTCCAAGTCTTTGCACATTTTATTAAAATACTTTACTTTGCCTTCTTGAACCACCTTTTGAAATCTTCTGTTTAGCTCTTTTACTTCATCATTTCTTCCACTCACTTTTACTATCTACATTCCAGAGCAAGTTTCAGAGTCTCTCCTGATACCCATTTTAGTCTTTCCTTTCCTGTCGTTTGAATGAGTTTTTGCCTTCTTTTTGTATAATGTCCTTGATGTCATCCCATAACTGATCTGGTCTTCAGTCATTATTGTTTTCAGTGCATCAAATCTAGTCTTGAGATAATCTCTAAATTCAGGTTGGATATACTCATGCTTGTACTTTGGCTCTCATGGACTTGTTTTAATCTTTTTCAGCTTCAACTAGAACTTATATAAGAATAACTGATGGTCTTTTCCACAGTCAGCTACTGGCCTTGTTCTGACTGATGATATTGAGCTTTTCCATCCTCTCTTTGCACAGATAAAATCAGTTTGATACTTGTGTTTTCCATCTGGTGAGATCCATATATACCATCATTGTTAATATTGTTGGAAAAAGATATTGGCAATGAATAGGTTATTAGTTTTGCAAAGTCCTATGATGTGGTCTCCAGTGTCATTTCTGTCAACAGAGGCTGTATATTTCAGCTACCCTTCCTTCTTTGTTTCCAACTTTCGAATTCCAATTATCAGTAATTCATCTTGATTGCATGTTTGATTAATTTAGACTTGCGGTGTATAGCTTTTCTAGCCATAGTCTTTGTAACTCCCATTTTGCTGTGAGCAACTGAGTAGCTGCTTGTTAAAGTCATCCACCTGGGGCAGCTTGAAATAATCTTCTGATAAAGTTCACTCTCACTCTCAGGTGTGTAGAACTCTGATGTTGAGATTGGTTAGTTTTGCCACTCTGCCAGGCTCAAAATGAGACCTCCTAGAGGCAGAGAGGAGCTCTGGTGGCATAGTGCCTAAGGCATTTGACTCCAAATCAGAAGGTTGGTGGTCCAAACCCACCAGCCACTCCACAGTAGGAAGACTGAGCAATCTACTTCCGTAAAGATTTACTGCTTTGGAAACCCAAAGGGGGTCACTATGAGGCAGAATCGACAATCAACTCGATGGCAGTGAGTTTGGTTTTGGTTTAGAGGCAGAGAGGAATCTCTGACTGCTGGCTGACAGAGACGTGCTGCTGAGAGAGATGCACTGCTGAGAGGGAGACTGCCTGCTGAGAAAGACTGAGTGTGTTCCTGAACTTGAATTGCAGCCTGTTGTTGCTTCCCTAATAAATCCCATAATCTGTGAGTTCTGGTCAGCCACTGCAGCAAATTATTGAACCCAGCAGAGAGGTGGTGGTATCGAACCCAGCAGAGAGGGACAGCTGGTGTCAAGGTTGGTAAGAGGGTTGGGGGTGGTGGCATGTCTGTCATAGGAACAGGCCTTAGGCTGTTGATGGTGATTCTGTCTTCCTCTTGTGTAGTTAGAGGAAGTCAGAAGATACCGCCTCCCTACCCCTTTAGCAAGACTGCAGCAATTGGTAAAATTCTTCAATTTCTTCATGTTTAGTATTAGTGGTTGGTGCATAATTTTAATAAAATTAATTACAATTATTTAATAATTATTCAATGATATTGAGTATATTTTTCATAATGTGTCATCATTCTCATTTGGTTGTACCATTTCCAGTACTGTAGTTTCCCTGTCCTCTTACCTTCTCATCTTTGTTTTAGAGTAATTTTTGACTATTTAGTCTCCTATAGATTATTTTTTAAAGGTGCTTATTACTTAGGGATGATACTCTTTAAAGCCAGTCTGTTATTTAGCTAAAAGATGACTTCAAGGGATAATTTCAGTTTAAGGTTTAAAGTGTATCTTAGGATGATAGTTTCAGGGTGCCCTCTAGTCTTAACCAGCCCAGTAAGTCTGGATTTTTTAAAGAATTTGAGTTTTGTTCCACATTTTCCTTCTGTTCAGTATGTCTTTTTATGATTTCATTAAAACTTTATTGCTTTTTTTGTGTATGTTTTAGGAAATACTCTGCTGTGCATAGGGATGGTTCTTTCCATTATGTCCACAGTACTCCTTTTGGCAATTACTCTTTCATCTGTGTGGATGCCACTCTCAGTCCAGGGCCTAAGAGACCCTATAATTTCTTTGGAATTTTAAATGAGGTACAGTAAACAATCTTACTTCCCTTTGTAGCTTGTGTGTTGTATTTTTTCCTCCAACTTGTGGTTCAGTTACATTTATTTACATTTATTCTAGGTAAATGCTTGAGAAACACTTTATTGTGGTTACAGGTATGGCTAAAAGAAGTTACTGGCTGTATCAACACTATTACTTCTATCCCTGTTCTTTTGTTTTTTTAGCAGGCAAATAGAACTATGATTTTATTTCATAGAGTAAAGGGTATTACATGCTTAGCTTAGGAAACAGGTCAGCAGACCAACGCAGGGTTTTCTCCGTATACCACCACACCACCAGCTATCTGCTTTCGGCTTCGTCATTTCCCCCATCCACTGCTTCCTCATTTCTAGACAGGGAGCTGGGACAGTACATTCTAATGTCCCTCTCAGCTCTGAAATTCAACTCTAGATTAGACATCCACTGTATCTGGAGAAAGGGCATTAGACAGACAGCTATCCCTGTTCTTATTTCAAAATTTGGGAAATAGTACCTCACATTTTTTATTTATTCAATAAAAATTTATTAAATATGTACTAAAAGTAGGATGCACTTTGTAAGGTGTAAGGCATACAACTTTATGTATTGTATTGTATATTCCTAAGTCCCCATAACTACCATTTCTAAATAATCTAATTTTTTTAATAAGAGAAAGCCAGCCAGTAGATAAGTTTCTTTTAAAGTAGTTTTGACAAGGATAAGTGAACATTGTTGGTAGATTAAAACTGGAAAGTCGTATCTGAGAACTTTTCATTATTTCTTGGTATAACAAATGTCAAATCATTAAATAGTTAATGAGTGGTTTACCCATAAAACCAAAAAACAAAACACTGCTGTGGAGTCAGATCTGACTCATAGTGACCCCTCTTTGGGTTTCGGAGGCAGTATTAGTACAGAAGTAGATTGCCCAACCTTCCTTCTGAGGAGTGGCTGGTGGGTTTGAACTGCCAGCCTTCTTAGGCAAGATATATTGTTCCCGTATGTGAGAATGTTGTTGTGTTGTTGTTAGGTGCCATCGAGTTGGACCTGACTCATAGCGACCCCTCCTTGGGTTTCCAAGGCAGTATCATTATGGAAGTAGATTGCCCAACCTTCCTTCCCAGGAGTGGCTGGTGGGTTTGAACCACCAGCCTTCTGATTAGCAGTCAGGTGCCTTAGGCACTACACTACCAGACCTCCTACATATGTGAGAATACAAAGGTGATAAAATAAAATCCTCGGTCTCTTAGAATATTTAAACTAGTGGTGGAGTTTAAGATCTGTACTAACAGACATAACTATAACAAAGGGCAGAATTTGCTAAGTGCTGAAAGATGTTCAGAGTGGTATGAGGGTTCAGTATCAAGTAAACAGAATATTGATAGGTACATTGTGTTATATTAGGCATTTTATTCAGTGAAGGTATATTTTGTTCCCTATCTATAAGTATCTTTAGACAGAGTTGATTAACTATTATTTTAAATACTACTCCTTAGAATATTTTTGTTTGTTTATTTTTAAATTTTTATTGTGATTTGGGTGAAAGTTTACAGAGCAGATAAAACAGTTTTCCATTCACTAATTCATACACATTTTGTTTCACGACATTGATTACAATCCCCGCAATGTATAAGCAGTTATCCTACTTCCTCCCTGTTTTTCATTTCCATTCATCCTTCTATCCTATTCCTTTCTGCCTTCTGAAATTTGTCTCTGGGCAAATGCTGTCAAATTATGCCTCATAAATGATGTATGATCTCAAATGGTTGATTGTTCTAAGGCGTGCATACCTCCCTGGTGTTATGGTTCACTTTATAGGCCTGACAACTGTTGGGCTAAAAGTTGAACCACAGGGATGAATTCAGTTCCAGGCTTGCAGGGTGACTAAGGGTCATAGCCTCAGGGGTTCCACCAATCTGTCTGTGGTGTAGTGAATTCCTTAATATTGTTTCTCTACTCTAGCCATGGTCTTTGTTACTCCTGGCAGATGGCTAGGTGGAACTATGTAAATATGAGATGCTTTGTGTTCTACCCAGAGGTTTTGGATAGCTTGTTAGTAATGTAAATAAGGTACATGGCACCCTTGTGGGGGTGTGACCATGCAAATAATGTGTATAGAACCCTAACATGGGGATTGGTCAGGTTTGCCATTCCTCTAAGCTTAATATGAGCCATCCCAGAGGATGAAAGGGGGAATCTCACTACCATCAAGGCAGAAGAGCCAGGAGTGGAGCATATCCTTGGACCCGAGGTCCTTGCACTGAACCTCTCCGGAATAGAGATGGCAAAAAGATAGCAGCGAGATAGTAGAGAGACTGTGGCAACAGAGGCAGCAGAACCAAGAGACCAGCATGAGACTGCTGCCCATGGAGCAAGAAAGCTGAGTGCCTTCAGGCAGGAGGCTTGCTGGCAGAGTAGGGTGCACCTATCAGCAGAGGTAAAAGCACTTTGTAACACCTGCCTGAGTAGGGCAGAGGCCAGGCCAAGAGGCTGAAGGTCAGAGAGAGGTGAGCCTGCAAGCATGGCCAAGGGGAGGCTGTCCTGATTGAAAAAGTGTATCCCGAGAGTTCCTGAAACTGAATTATAACCTATTACTTCCCTAATAAACCCCATAATCAAGAATATCGTCTGTGAGTTCTCTGTGGCCATTGCAATGAATTATTGAACCCAGCAGAGAAGTAGAGAGTGCTGTGGGAAGAGGGACGATTGGTGTCAGAATTGATAAAGAAGTTTAGAGTGTGGTGGCATGTCTGACTTCTACCTTACAGGAATATGTCATGGGCTGATGCTGACAATGGTGATTCTGTCTTTCCCTTGTGAAGTTAAAGGTCAGATGATGATGCCTCCATGCTCTTTTCGCACTATCAGACCAGTAAGCCTGGTCTTTTTTTTATGATTTTGAGTTTTGTTCCACATTTTTCTCCCACTGTATTCAGGACCTTCAATTGTGATCCCTTTCAGAATGGTCGGTAATGGCCAGACGCCATCTAGTTCTTCTGGTCTTAGGGCCTTGGAAGCTGGGGTTCACATGGTCCATTAGTCTTTTGGACTAAATATTTCCACGTGTGTTTGATTTTCTCTATTCTTCTTTGTTCCAGATTAAGAGAGACCAGTAAATCGCACCTTAGAGGGCTGCTCACTTTTTGTTTGAGGTATAATTCAAGGATCATCTGCAGATTCCCAGGCCCCACCCCAGACATACCAAATTAGAAACCCTAGGGAAGGGCCAGGAATTTATTACTATAAACACTTTACAGATAATACTAATACTTATTTATATATGTACAAGTTATTTTTTAAAATCAACTTTATGAGGTATGATTTGTATGTAATAAAATACACTCATTTTAAGTGTAAGTTTTTGTTTTTGTTTTTTTTTTTCATTTTATTGTGATTTGGGTGAAAGTTTACAGAGCAAATTCTTAAGTGTATAGTTTGAAGAGTTTTGATAAATTTATCAAAACTGCCACCACAATCAAGACACAGAAAATTTCCATCACTCCAGAAAGTTCTCTTGTGCACTTTTCAGTATTCACCTAGTCCCAGGGAACCACTGGTTTTCTATTATTATAGATTTTTTGCTTGTTCTAGAATTTTATATAAATGAAATCATATAGTATATACTCTTATGTCTAGCTTCATTTACTCTTTTTCTCAGTATGTTTCTGAGATTGTAATATGGTGGCATCAGACCTCATCCAAATTCAGGAGGAGGAGAGAAGATTACCATTAGCCCAAAGCTGATCCCTGTGAGGTGGAGGCCAGACATACTTCCAGTCTCCAACTTTTTTACCATTTCAGACACCAGCCATCCTCCCCACAGCACCTTCTACTTCTCTGCTGAGTTCAGCAATTCCTTGTAATAGCTACATAAAACTTTGAGACATACTCATAATTATGGGGTTTATTAGGGAAGTGATAGGTTACAGATCAGGACCAACTTTGAAGTAACAGGAATAACTCAGAATACAGGATACAGTTCATCAATCAGGACAGCTTCCAACTTCTCAGTTCCTTAACCTGCATGCCTACAGGCAAGACAGGTCTCAACTTTCAGCCTCTGCCCTGCTTGGGCAAATGTTATAGCTCCAAGTTGGTAAGTATCCAGAGGTACCCCACTCCTCTATGAAGCCTCTTGCCCAAAGGCACTCAGCTCTCTTGCTGTGTGGGTTGGGAAGCCTACTACAGCTGTCTGCTTGTCCCATGCCACTGCCATCTCATGCTTCCTCCAAGGTTACAGTTCTCTGTGTCTCCTGGTTCTAGGAGGTTTTCAGTGTAGGGACCCTGGGTCCAAAGGATACACTCTGCGTCTGCCTTTTCTTCTTGATGGTAGTGAGGTCATCATCTACCTCTATGGGATAGGCTCTTTTAAACCTAATGGGATGTCAAAACTGACCAAACCCCTTGGTAGGTCACAGGTACTTTATTTGCATAGTCACTGTCCAATCCCTGCAAGATTTTATATACCTTATTTGCATAATCTTAGCTAATCATTTTGTTGGAGTTGAGACGATGGCTAGAAAAGCCATATAAAAGCAATTCACTGCACAGAGGTTTATCCATATTGTTTTGTGTATCAGTAGTTCTTTCCTTTTTATTGCTAAGTCATATTCTAGTGTATGGCTATGCAGCAATTTGTTGATTTTATCCAGTTTTTACTATTATAAGTAGAACAGCTATGAATATCAGGTACAAGTCTTTCTGTGGTCATGTGTACATTTGGTTTTACACGTTTAGTTTGTACAGACTCATTATTAATTGCAATGTGCTACACAGGGCTGAAAAAATTAGTGGTGACTTCTTTATTTTTTAGTTTCCTTTTCTATCAAATGGGGATAGTTAATCTGTTGATCACTCTTAAGATTAGATTTCAGCCTGAGTCGTAGTTAAAGACCCCTCCTTTTTTCTCCCATTTTAGAAACAAATGGAAGAGCTTTTGTTACTGGCCAAGGAAAGTAGTCAGAGCAACCATACTATTTGGTTTGGACATTTCACAACATCTACTATCCTTTCTTCATCACCAGGAATCCGGTCAATAATGAGGTAAGACAGGTTTCTAAAATTAAAATTGCTTTTAGACAGGCCTATGAGCTGAACACCTACACCAGGTAGATTCACTCCTTACAACAGTCAACCATGGGAGATCAAAAGGGAAACATTTGCACAGGGAGAAAGGTAGGGAGGCAGGAATGTGTAGGCAAGGACGACACAGGGAAAGGGTAACCACAGGGAGGAAGTGGGAGAAGAGCAGTTACACTGAGGGGAATGTACCTAGTGTCACAAAACAAAATGTGTATGAACCGTTGAACGTAAAACAAATCTGCTTTGTAAAATTTCACTCAAATCACAATAAAAAGTTAAAAAAAAATTGAAATACTTTTTCATTTGTTGATGTTGCTCTACATACCCTATATACCTTTCTTTCTTGGAAAGGCCTTTATATTAGTTTGGCATCGCAAATTATCCTTTATCACTTAATCCATTTATTTTTCATTGGTTAGTTCAGCTACAGCTTATTTGTGTGGGCACCTCCATACACTTGGTGGACTGATGCCTGTTTTGCACACTCGACACTTCCAGGGCACTTTAGAACTTGAGATGGGAGACTGGAAAGATAACAGAAGGTAAGGAAACTATCCCACAAAGTAAAAATGATACATGTAAGTTTTGTTAAAGCAAAGATAGAGTCTTATTGATATCATGGTTAATCTCAGTTAAGGAAAAACTTGTGGGTTTGTTGTTTGTTTTTTTTCTGGTCATGTGTGTATCTAGCAGTTTTTGTCTTAAGGGAAGACCTTGTCGCAGCAGTGATGTTTGCATATATTACACTGGATTTGGAATAGTATGTAGGAAGTAGTTCTCAAACTCTGGTATACACAAGAATTGTTGTTGTTGTTGTTAGGTGCCGTCAAGTCGGACCTGACTCATAGCAACCCCTTCTTGGGTTACCGAGGCGGTATCACTACCCAACCTTCCTTCCAAGGAGTGGCTAGTGGGTTTGAACCGCCAGCCTTCTGGTTAGCAGTCAAGTGCCTTAGGCACTATGCTACCAGGGCTCCCACATAAGAATTAGAGGAGCTCATTACAAATGAAAATTTCCAGGCCCAATCTCTAGAGATTTCTATTTTGTTTGTCTAGGCTAAGGCCCAAGAAACTGCATTTTTAAAAAGCCTACCAGGTGGTCTATGGACCATACTTTGAAATATATTAAAATTAGAAATACATAATTTCTTCCCTAATTTTATACCTACCATTCTAGTTATTATTATAAGATATTAGTGATTTCAGTTCTTTGACTATATGATAGTTGACTTGATTAAGGTTAAAGCCTTTCTAATAGAGAACATAACATTTTTTCTAATAGAGAACATAACATTTATTCAAATCATATATTAAAATATATATATATATATATATATATATATATATATATCTCCTGTTGCTGTCAAGTCTATTCCAATTCACAGTGGCCCTATAGGACAGAGTATCTTCCTACAGCCATCTAGTAGATTCTAACTCATAGTGACCCTATAGGACAGAGTAGAATAGCCCATAAGTTTTCCAAGGCTGTAAATCTTTATGGAAGCAGACTGTCATATCTTTCTCCTGTGAAGCAGCTGGTAGGTTCCAACTGCCAACCTTTCAGTTAACAGGTGAATGCTTAACTACTGTGCCATCAGGGGTCCATATGTGTATGTGTATATATGTGTGTATTTGTGTGTGTGTGTGTGTGTATAGATATAGACTTATTTATTTATTTATCCATATATTTTGAGAAGAACTATTTAAGTGAAATATTTTATCTAATTATAGTTGAGTATTATCTCATTATTTAGCTGTTATCAATTGCTATTTGATTTATTCAAACTTCAAACTCTGAAGATATAAAACATTCAATAAATATATATATTTTTTTTATTAGGATTTGGGTGAAGATTTACAGAGTAAATTCACTTTTCATACAGCAGTTCACATATAC